TTGTGCTTTACCACATAGTAAAATCACTCTTTCCATCAAAGAGCGGAACCTCATATTTCAAAGCAGTGGACATAATGCTTAATAACTCTCCAATAAATAAGCACTTCCAACAACCAAATAAATTGAAGCTAAAAATTAAAGCCAGGAACTCAAATCAGGTAGAACCGACCTTTCTGGCAGGAATTCTGGTGTGTTGCCGGAACCTGCTGTGGAAGTGCAACCTGAACTGCTCGCGTGCCGTCAACTTCTCTCGAAACACCTCTTGCTCCTTCTCACCTCCCTTTGCGAAGATCTCGCTAAAAAATGACCTCTCTCTGATATCACTTGTTGGGAATATACACAAGGGAAGAGAAAGAAAAACCAAATAAAAAGACACGAGAATTTAACATGGTTCGGTCTTACAACAGACCTACATCCACGATCCAAAAATGGGATAATCCACTAAAATATTTATTACAATTTTTGCACGGACAAAATTGTAAAATCCTCCTCACAACAACTCACGAAATTTCAATTTCACTCTCTCTAGTTACTAAAAAAAAATGTTTGTTGTCATCTCTTAAAATAGGACCCAAGGGGGTCAATTTATAGGAGCCAATGCCTCCACCATTCTATCACACTTTCGATGTGGGACATGGGAAGTTACACAACACTTCCGCCGTTCGATGTACATGAAGGGGATGACATTCTCTACTTTGGCTCTTTACAATTAGAAGGGAAGAAATATATATCAGGCGAACTCCACAACACCTGTCAAGTAATCAAACGCCCTTATATCGAAAACTTAGGGATCAAATCCGGGAATCAGAATGGATGGGCGATCGGGCCGATTCTCCCCCTCAACCCGTCTTCACAGCGACAACACGAATCGTTAGAGTGGTTGGATAAACACGAACCGGGTTCGGTTCTTTACGTCTCGTTCAGCACGACAACGTCGCTATGGCACGAAGAAACAACCGAGCTAGTGAAGGGATTGGAGCGGAGCAAAGTGAAGTTTTTGTGGGTACTAAGAGATGCCGACAAAAGAAACATATTAGTCGACGATGGCGGTGAGCCCCGGAGAGAGGCTCTTCCGGAAGGGTTCGAGAAGAGGGTAAAAGGCATGGGGCTCGTCGTGCGCGATTGGGCGCCGCAAATGGAGATTTTGGCGCATCTGTCGACGGGCGGATTTATGAGCCATTGCGGGTGGAATTCGTGCATAGAAAGCATTACCGTCGGGTTGCCGATGGCGGCGTAGCCTATGCATACCGACCAGCCGGCGAATGCGGCGTTGGTAACCCGAGTGCTGAAAACGGGGCTACTGGTGAGACCGTGGACCGCTGATAAAGAAGTAGTGAAAGTGTTGAGCGTCGAGACTGCCGTGAGGTGACTAATAGCGTCGTGAGAAGGCGACAGTATGAGAATAAGGGCTAAGGAGACGGTCGCCGCCGTGCAGGAGGCAATGCAGCCCGGCGGGGCTTCTTGGCTCAAGCTCGACTCGAGCCTAAGGCAGGCTTAGGCCTGGCCCGGCCCAAATTAGTCTATTCTCCAACAAATATTTCAAGGGCCTGGCGGGAATCTTCGACTCCAACTCGATTCGTTTATTGTCCACTTTATAAGGTAGGCTTAGGCCCGGCTAGCCCGCCCGGATCATTGCCTCTTATCCAACAAATATTTCAAGGGAAATATAACTATCGATTACTTTAATTTAATTTAATTTAATTTGATTTGATGCGAATAAATATGATTATTTCAACTTGTGAGACAACATAATATATCCTTGAAGTAATATTAATAATTAAGGTTGACTTCCTTCTATCTTATTTTATTTTTTTAAAATTTTATTTTTTTTTTTAAATGGTGAGAAACTTGCGATTGTTACTTTTCGAGGGGTACGCTATGAATATTTCAGTCGAATTTAATAATTTGTAAAAATAGTTAGCAAAATCTATTGTCATGATATTTTCTCAATTAATTGGACGAGACAATTTGTCTCGCAATTCTGTGACTTTTCATATTGTCACAATGAAACGGCTACGGCAAAGGTTTCGAAACAATTTCCGAGAGTATTCAATTAATTGTCTCATATTTATATAGATTTTGAGACAATTTTTCCGAGACAAATTTATATATTTTTGGTAGTTGACGCACCCTTTTATCTAATTGGTTTAAGGATTAATGGGCAAATGGATCGAGGATACAAGAGATGGACCGATTCGGTGGGTCAAGCTACGGAGTGGACCAACTAATTTTTATTTTTGAGGAATTTGTCGAGTTAGCCCTCGAACGATCAAAATTCTCAACATTTATTATAAATAGATTATACAGCATTAATAATATAAACTTTAAATTAAAGTATAATGAGTTGTAATAAAAATATAAATACTCCTATTAACTATTTTTAATTTTTAATTTGAGCAAATAGCATAGCATGCTGTATTTTTAAATTTAACATTGCAAAAGGTCATCTCAATTATTAATTTATGTACTTTTTAATTTAATTAAAATGATTAGATGTAAATTAAAGGTTAGCAATTGTATTACCTATCTATAATAATAAATACCTTTTCAATTTAAAATATATTTCACAAATACGGTCATTTTTATATTAAACAATAATAATAAGGGTATTTTCGCTTTTTTTACTACAACCTAATATAAACTAATATTAAAAAATCTACGTACAAAAAATAAACGTTACTCTTTATATGGGACGGAGGGAGTATTATATCTACATATATATTTCTAAATTTTTATTTATTTGTATTATAAAAAATTTTATTTTCTACAAAAATAACATATATATTTATAGATTTTATTAAATTATACATATTATAAAAAATTAAATTTACATTTATAATTTAAATTATAAAAATAACATGCCATTGCACAGAGCTTGTCGGGACGTAAAAGCGGCTCGATTTGGCTCCTAAACCCGGGCAACAGTGGCTCCATAGTAGTTTTGGCCAAAAATCCCTTGAAGAATTACACCCATAATTACCAATTCATACTCTAATTTGAGTGTCCAAAAATTTTATGATACTTTTACAAAAATAAAAAGAGTATTTAATCTGACAAAGGTAAAAAAAAAAGTTCGGATAACAATGGAAAATCACCGACTATGTTTGTTTGTAGATTTGAATTTTTTAATAATATAATAATAAAGTAAACAAAAAAATGATGAATACTTTATTATAATTTGTTAAAATAAAAATAATAAAATTATGAATAAATAAATTTATTTATTATAAAATAAGTTATATTTTGCCGTTCATCAATTTTTTTTAATTTTTAATTAAATTTTCAAACATACCACAATTATCTTTTTACTTTTATTACTTTTTAATAAAATATTTATTTTTTTTAATTTTGTGCCAAATTCAAATATTCTAAATTTACCGGAAGAAGGATACAAAAATTTAGAAGATAATAAAAGAAGTACTCCATTCGTCCTAATTAAAACTAAGTATCATTATTTTTAGTAAAAGTAATTCTATACTAATATTAAAATACTCTTAATTTTTATTTAAATTAAAAACATACTATTATATTTATACAAAAAATCAAAGAATAAAAATATCAAAATTTCTTACCAAATTTCACTGACTAATAAAATATTCTATCACAAATCTATTTATTTTTTCATTTTAATACGTCCCTTATAAATGTATATGTTTTCTTTATTACGTTTGAGTGGAAGTACAATTACAAATGTATCTGTTTTCTTTTTTACATTTGAATAGAAATATATCTACAAGTGTATTTGTTTCTTTTTTTTACATGAGTGGATTTACATTTACAAATGTTTTTTTTTTTTTTTTTTTTTTTTTACATTTGAGTGGAAATATATTTACTAAATAAATATATTTACGAATAAAATATTATTTTTTAATCTACTATAAAATAAAAAAAAATAAAAAGAGGGGTGGAGAAAGTATAATTATTCCAAAAAAAAAAAAGAAATATTATTAAGGCACAACAACGCAGCTCACATGCTTACATTAAATGTATCCTAACGTAACACTAACATACAGGGTTGTTTGGCAAATAGCTTTTTGAACAACTTTTAGCTTATTGAACAACTTTTAGCTGTTTGACTAGTCAAAAAGCTAATTTAGGTGTTTGGTAAATTAGCTTTTTGGAATAATTTTTTAGACCCAAAAAGCTAATTTCTGAAAAGCTAACTTACCCAACATTTTGAAATAGTTTTTTCTGTAAATTTTTTTTTATTCCTTAAAAATTTATTATACATTTTACACAAATAAATATATTTTGATTATTTATTTAATTATATTAAAATATTTTATTATATTATAGTTTTACTTTTATAAATTTAAAATAATTAATTTTTATATAAAAATTATTTTAATTGTAAAATATATAAATTTATTAAAATCAACATAAAATAAAAAATATAAATATTAATAATTTATTTTTTTATTAAAATTACATTATATAAATTTTATACTAAAAATAAATTAAATAAATTAAATTTATTGAAAATTATAATTATAATGAACTAATCGATAACTAACATAATAAATATATACACGAAAAATTTATTATTTTATATTTTACATCATTTTCAATAAAAAAATTATTTATATATTTTAATAAATATATATTATTTTTAAAATCTAACTGTAATAAAAATAAATAGTTTTATAACACTTTTACAATTTTCAATAATTAATAACAAAAAATTTAAACATTCTAAACTCAAAAGAACATAATTGAATATATTAGAAATATAATAAAATAGAAATGTCCTCAATTGTCATTTTACGTATAAACAGCTAATATCAAACAGTTGTTTTACCAAACATTTTAATATAAACAGCTAATCGAATCAACTAGTCAAACCAACTAATTGAATCAGCTAAAAACTAACAGCTAATTGCCGAACACCGCCTATTATTTGATCGAATCTAATCATGCAAATTAGACTCCACAAGAAAAAATAAGTAAACTATTAACTAATTGTAATAATGAGCTGTGTGTGTCTGAACTCTGAATCTCATTCATGGCCGATTTATGAAAGCAGCTACTTTAGCAAACATCTTCAGGCTATTCTCCCCATCGGGATTCAGCACACTGAAACCGTGCCCTTCTTCCTCCACCTCCACCGCCTCAATCTCGCCGCCCCAACCACTCTCCGCCACCGCCGCCGTGTACTGCCGCCCCCTGTCCTTCCCCGCCGTGTACACCAACACTCGCCGGCACTTCAGCCCCGACAGCACCTTCAAATCGGCGCTCGGACTCACCCACGCCTCGTCCAGCCCCGTCAGCCCCGGGCACGCGTAGAACCACAGCTTGTCCACGAAGGATTTTGCGGCGCCAGACGGTACTCGACCGACACGGCAACGACCAGGGACGGAGCTACACGGGGACCCGGAGGATCCGCGCCCCCCAAACATGGCGACTGCCCCTTAAATTTCCTTGTCGGAGCATAGCTATGTGAAATCCGGAGGTCCATCCGACCTTCCCTTTGCCCCCCGGGTTTCAACCTCTTGGCTCCGCCACTGGCGACAACGTTGGCTGCCGACGTGAGGGCAATTCCAACCCACTGCATTTTATGCAGTGGGTTGGCAAAAATTGGGGGAGGGGCTCAACCCATCCCCAAATTTTCCTCCATTTTTTGGATCCACTACAGTATTACTCCATTTTTGAAGTAACACTGTACACTTTACTCTATTTTTGGAGTGAAATTTATGTAGTGTTTCGTGGTTTTATGTATTTTTGTTATTTTTCTTTAAATATATTATGTAATTTTATTTTTTTGAAAAATAATGTATAATTTTATTTTATAAAAATGAAATATAATTTTATCTTTCGATAAATGATATATAATTATATAAATTTTTAAAAATAATAGTATGTAATTACATATCTTTGGGTTATATTTTAAAAATAAATTAAAATTGAGGTGTAATTTATAATATAAAAAAAGAATATAAAAAAAATATATTTTAAAGTGAAAAATTGAAGTTTATAGTTATAATAAAATAAAAGTTGGAGAGGACGACATTGCTGGATTGGGTGAAAGAGATAATGAGAGTAATGTGAATGGCTGTGACTGTGTGGCCTTGTTTATAGTTAAGGCTGACTGAGATGGATTATACAAGATTCTTTGAGTAATTTTTTTATCTTATTTTTTATTTTTTTAAGAATGTAAAATAAGTAGCCACTATTTTTTTGGGTTTTTTTCGTAAACTATGGATTGAATTTAATAATTTACAAATTAGATCAATAAGACAAATTGCATTATACTACTAAGGCGAATTGACAGAAAAAATGTAGAGCCGTAATTATGACCTCATGGTTATGAGTCAATCCGACATCGGATCACCTGTTTGGAGGGTTTGTCTGTCACCTCTGTCTAGGAGGGTGACCCATGTCAATGTCTTTTTATTTAATTTTAAATAAAATTCTTCATTTTGCATTTTAGTCCCTCATTTTTTTTATGCGGTTTTTTTTTTTTTCTTGTGATATTCTGCTTCACATTATTAAGCTTACTTCTCATTCAACATTTATCATCGATTTCGCCAGCGATTCACACTCGGTGGTTCTTATTTTTATATTTACTTTTCTCGGAGCTCTCGAATTTCACGGTCATTCCAGCCTTGTTTTTTCTTTTTTTTTTTTAATCTTCAAATACTCGGTCATTGTCTGTGTATTGTAGGTGATCAGAAAGCATATGTACCAACGAATTTATTTCTTTTTTTTTTCTTATATTTTTTACTGCTTCAGGCTCTGTTATTATTATTATTATTATTATTATTATTATTATTATTATTATTATTATTATTATTATTGTTACTGTTATTGTTTATTTATTATAGTTGAAAGCATGTCTATAATCACCAAAGAAAGAAAAATACTAAAAATTTGTTGTTGTAGAAACACATGTGAATAGTTTTTATATTTTATAAAATTTAAAGAACTTATCATATGAATTAATTTGAGTTTTTACATCAATTGAGATTCAATACTAAAGCCACAACATCAAAGTTTAGCACAAGATCAACAAAACCTAAAAGCCCTAAATCGACAAAATCAAAACCCTTTCGAAATTGAAAAATCCAAAACTTGTATTTAAATTAGAATCAAGAACAACAAATCCTAAATCCTAAAGCAAAAAAATAAAATATGAATTGCAAAAAATCTCAAATTTTACTGAATTTTAAATTTCTCAAACACTAACGATTAAGAGCGCACGACGACGACAGAGATGTGAGTTGGGCGCAGCAACCGATGGCAGCGACGATAGATGGACAAAAGAGAAGACCGTGACAATTTGTGATTTCTTAATCGATTTCAGAGTGAATAACGTTTAATCATTATTGAATCAGTGTAATCTCAAATTGTTAGGGGGCAAAGTGTAATTTTTAAAAAATTATGAATTTAAAAAAAAAAAAAAAAAAAAAAAGATTGTCATGTGTCCCCTTCCTATAGGATGGACAGGGGCGACAGGAAAGTCCTCTGGACAGGTGATCCCATGCCAGTCAATCCCTATACCACCCCTATGCCATCCCGGGATCTGTTAGAATATATTTTTTAATTTTATTTCGCACAATTTATTAACTCCTCCTATCCAAAAGTGTTACACATTTTATTACTGATATTGTATTTAAGATAATACTCATTTCATTCCTTTTTTTTTATTATTTTGTCAATGTTAATATACAAGAGAATTTAAATAAAATATAATTAATAAATTATTAAAAAATTAATTAGTAAAAATAATTATTATATAATAAACTTAATTATAAATTAAAATTAAAATAATTAAATACTTTAATTAATATTAATAAAAATATAAATTATAAAATTTAAAAAACAATTAACATATAATTATTATTTTTTTAAAAAAAAAATGATAAATTACATAGAAGACCGAAATAAAAAATACAAACATTTTATGCAGAAGAGATAGTAGAATTTAGTAATTTAATAGTGATAAATTGTTATATTATTTTATTATTGTACATGAGTAATAGTGATGTTAATATTATTAAAATAAGAATAAATATATATGATTAAAATAAATTTAAAATATTTATTTAAATATTTTAAATACTATATTTGTATAAAATATATAGATATCTGGTTTATTTATCCAAAAGGTTTGATTTGAAGATTTTTTTATATGAAATACTCCTTTTGTCCCTTAATAAACTATTCGTTTTTTTATTCTGGTACGTTTTATAATAAAGTATTAGTAATCGTACTATCTGTCTAATATTACAAATATCCTTTCAATTTATAATATATTACACAAATACCATTATCTTTATATCATACAATAATAATAAGGTTAATTTAGTGTTTCTTACGTATACTACAATCTCAATATAATACTAATATTTCTAAAATTCCGTACAAAAAAACAAACAAATAGATATGAGACGGAGAGAATATAAAGAATTGCATGATATAAAATATAATATTTTATATTGAAATTTAACTTAAAATTTAAAAATATATATATAGGGAATCTTCTCGAAAATTTTTTTTACACAAACAAGTTCATCATTTCGAAAAATAAATAAAATTTTATTAATATAAATAAAAAATATTTATTTATTTATAAGTAATATAAATTAATTTTATAAATTAAATATAAGATAAAAAAAAAGCAAAATAGCAAAAAAAAGAAAAAAATCCCTGTGATTTTCCAAATTCGCTGAAAACTTTTTGTAGTTTTAAAATTCTAAAAACTCTACCCGTGGTTTTCAAAATATTGCATACTCACCCCTCCCATCTAAATTATACTCACAGACATTAAATTTTATCATATTTGACAATTATGCCCTTATTTATATTTTTTCTAATTTATTTTTACTCTCATATTTTATTTTTCTCCCACACATCCACTCTCATCATCATCATCTTCTTTCTTATCCCAGGCATTCACTCCCATCATCATCATTTTCTTTTTTCTTTTTTTTTTCTTCAATTTTTTTTCAGAAGATTGGTGAAAGAATCGTAGCGCTAGACTCTGTTGTTGTTCGGAGTCGAAGCCGCCGCTGTGCTGGAGGAACAGCCACTGAGTGTCTATTTTTCTCCAATTTTTTTTCTTACTTCTTCTTCCCCAATTCTTCTTCAGGAGGCGTAGGCGGATCAACTCTACGGGACGGTGACAAGACAAATTGATCAATTAGCTGTGGCGAAGAAGAGGAAGAGATGTTTGAGAAGAGATCAAAGAGAGAAGACAAAAAGAAAGAGAGAAGATGAGTGAAACGGTGTGCTAAACTTGGATAAGGTGGAGAAATAGGTGCGGTCCCAAAAGGTGATATGATGAGATATGCGCAGCCGATTAGAAATAGAATCCCAACATCTATAACCCTTGTGTTCGATGCCATAACCCAAGAAATAACATAAACGAGCTCGAGGTTGAAGCTTTGTCCGCTCATGGGGAGGGAGGAGGACAAAACATACAACCAAATGGATGGAGCAAACTATAATCAGGAGACTGACCAAATAGACGCTCGAAGGGACTGACATCATGGAGGACTGACGAGGGTAACGCAGCAGTTAATGTTGCTCCCCCCCCCCCCCCCAACCCCAAAACGACTAGGACAAACAATATCGAGAATATGACGATATTTGCGTTATGCCCGTCTATTCCGTAGGGACGTATAAGGACAGGAACGCTATACCAAGGTACCTTGACTGGATAGAAACTGCAAAAATGATGACGTATTGTACTCACAAGCATTATCAGCACGAAGGACTTTAATAGGACAGGAGAATTGAGTGTGAATTATCTGAGCAAATTGAGCATATATAAAGGGTAATTCAAAAAGATTTTTCAAAAAATAAATCCAAGTAAATTGAGAAAAATAATCAATAAATATAACATAATACTGAAAATCACTGACGGACGCAATAGGAGAAGGACCCCAAATGTCATAATGTCCTAAAGAAAAAGGTTCAGTAGCAATAGATGAACTTTCTGAAAAACTAAGAGTAGGTGGTTTGCTAGGTTTACAATCGACACAATTAAAAGACTCAAAACGACCTGGACCTAAAAGACCTTTAGTATGAAATGACTGAAGCTTACTGGAAGACGCATGACCTAGGTGAAGATGCCAATGAAAACTGGAGGAATCAGAGGTAAGAGCTGCAGAGCGGGGATATGTGCAGGAGGTATGGAGAGACTCAAGCTCAAATAACCGACCCGTTTTGCATCTCGTCCAGAGAAGCTGACCCGTCTGAGAATCCTGAACCTGCACACCACCAGAAGAGAATGTAACGGTAAGACCTTGTTCAACAAATTGACCAACACAGATAAGATTTAAGGCTAAGTCAGAGATGCAATATGTATCAGTAAGATATAGGGAAGAGAGGACGCAAGACCGGTGTGGGTAATATGCATGGTTGTACCATTGACAGTATGTATAGGTGGTAAATGGGAGACATGAGACATAGAGGTCAAGTTACGAGGGTTAGAGGTCATGTGGTGACAACAACCAGAATCAAAATACCAAGTAGATGTACCTGGAGTGGTAGACATAGCAGAATTGGTTTGCATAACTTGTTTGATGATGACTTCTATGTCATGAGGATTGTAAGGTGGATGCTGAGTCTCATTAGTAGTAGCAGCTGTAATCGTAGAAGAAGCAGTCGAAGAAGACCCACTAGGCTCCCGAGGTTTGGGAGTAGAGCTACCGGAATGTCTAGAAGCAGAACTACCTGAACGCTGAGATCTGGTAGGACAAGCCGGAGCAATATGGCCATGCAGACGACAAGAGTGACACTTAATCTTCGGACAGGTGGACCAAGTGTGATCAGGAGACTTGCAAACTCGACATCCAGTATGAGCAGATCGGGACTGGTGAGACACAGCTAAAGCATAATCAGAACTCGGTGTCTTAACCAACTGGAGACGGGTCTCCTCAAAACTAATCTCCTGAATGGCAGCATCAAGAGTAGACAATGGATGTCGATGTAGGAGTGAGGCACGAACAACCTCATATTCAATTCGAAAAGGCCATCAAGATCTGAATAAGGTCAAGATGGTCCTGACTAATCTGCGACTGTCGGAGACGATAATGAATAGGCTGAACCTGAGCAAGAAACTCATTAACAGTCTGACCAGGTTGTTGTCGGGCGGAGCTCAGCGTGGTCCAAAGCTGATAATAATGAGCAAGACCTGTAGTCTGAAAAGAGCAACGAGGAAATTTCATGCCTCCTTTGCAGTATAAAAAAGAGTCAATTGTACCTGAATCGCAGGTAAAGAAGTATTGCACAGCCAAGTAAGATACTGATGATTCTTACTATCCAAATCTTCCAATTTGGCAACATAATCTTCATACTCGCGAGAGATGGAATCAACACTCACAAAATGAGATGGAGAAACAGGTGGTCGGATATCGCCAGTGACAATTCGCCATAACTTCCTACCAATCAAGAAACTTTTCATAGATTGCATCCAAAGGCCATAATTATCTCCCGACAAGATAGTAGTAATAGGTAAATGAACTTCCATACGCTCTATTAAAAAAAAAAAAAAAAATGTAGAGAAATATGTGAATCATGAAATCAAAGCCCAAATCAAGAAAGTAGATCGAACAATCCAATCGGTAACAGTCGCAAAACAAAATCAACTCCGATGACAAAACCAACCACACCACGACGTAGAGAACCAAAGCAGGAGGCGGCGACCGAAAAACGAACGGCCGGCGAAGGGCGGATGATGGATGGCGGCGGTGGCAGCGGCAGCTAGGGTTTTGGTTTTGGAAAACTGTACTCTGATACCATGTTAGAAATTTTGGAAAAAAATAATGAGATTATCATATTATCATCAAAGTAAGAGGCCTATATATAGACAATACAAAACAGACTTGATATAGACTCAAATCTAAGTAATCTAATCTATAGATAAAACCAAATTTAAATATAAATTATACTAAATCTAAAATCGAATATTTAAAATATCTCAACACTATACAAAAAATTAAATGACAAAAATATCAAAATTTACTATATTTCCTCTAATTTATAAAATACTATTATTTTTTATAATCTACTATAAAACTTTAAATAGTTTTTTTTAAAAAGTGAAAGAGGAAATATAATTATTCCAAAAAAAAAGGAAGCATAATTAAGGCACAACAAGACAGAATCAACACAATCAGTGTAAAATTTATTATATATAATTATATTAATTATATAATTTATAAAATAAATTCACATCATTATTTTCTACACAAATTAGCATTGGGGGTAGAGCCTTTAAACGAAACCGAGTCGTTCGTGAATTCGGCTCGGTTTGGCTCGATTAAAATTTGTTCGCGAACGTTAATGAGCTGAGTTGAACAACATAAACAGACTAGTTTGGTTAACGCACGACCTCGAACTTTGTTTGCGAATGTTCGTTTAAATAATATATTTATTATAAATATTATATATACATATAAAATTATAATTTATAAATAAATAAAATATTAATTTAAAATATATATAAAAAAATAATTTTAAATTTTGTTATTAATTTATATATAAATTTAAAAAAAAGTGAGACAAACTAGTTCGAACGAACTCGAACAAGTTTAATTGAACCTAAACGAATCAAACATGAATACGAGCTCAAACAATAAAATTTTTTAATGAGCTGATCTCAAATACTACGAACGAACTCGAAAGCTTAACGAACAAACATAAACCTTATTCGCAAACGTTAATGAATCCTTAAAATTTGGTTCCATTCTACTCGTTAAGAGCTTTAATTGGGTGCTGATTTACACAATCTCTCCCATCCAGATCCCAACATAACACTAACATATAGCCGCTTACGTTATTTATTTATTTTTATGGTTTGCTATTTTTTGTTTATTTTTTTTTGTATGACGTGTAACGTTAAGATTTTTGATCGAATCTACCCGTGCAAATTAGCTTCGACAAAATAAATCATAGTGATTACTTTATTACAATAACGAGGCGTGTGTGCCTAAACTCAGAAGACTTCATGGCCGATTAATGAAAGAAGCCACTCTAGCAAACATCTTCTGGCTATTCTCCCTCCCCTTCAGGATCCAGCACGCTAAACACGTGCCCTTCTTCCTCCACCTCCACCGCCTCAATCTCGCCGCCCCACCCACTCTCCGCCACCGCCGCCGTGTACTGCCGCCCCCTGTCCTTCAAATAGTCCTTCCCCGCCGTGTACACCAACACTCTCCCGCACTTCAGCCCCGACAGCACCTTCAAATCGGCGCTCGGATTCACCCACGCCTCGTCCAGCCCCGTCAGCCCCGGGCACGCGTAGAACCACAGCTTGTCCGTGAAGATCTTCACGGACACGCCCGTGTCGGAACGCTCATCCCCGATCGGATCCTTCCCTGAGAAGAACGGGCAGTTCAGAAACATGCCGACTAGGTTTATTCCGGCGGGATTCCCGCCGCCGAATCGGAGGGCGATATTGTGAGCTATGTTGCCACCGGCGCTGTCTCCGCCGAGGTAGACGCGGCCGAAGTCGCCATGGCGTTTGATCCAGTCGTCGGTGGCGTCGGACGCCGCCCAATTGACGGCGGTCCAGGCGTCGTCGAAGGCCGCCGGGAGAGGATTTTCCGGCGCCAGGCGGTACTCGACGGACACGGCGACGACGTTGGCTGCCGACGTGAGGAGGTTGAGGTGCTTCTGGTAGACGGAGGAGAAGGCGGATTCGATTAGGAAAGCGCCGCCGTGGAAGTAGAAGAGGAGGGGGAGTTTCGTGGCCGGTGCGGCGGCGGTTTTGGGGAGGTAGAGGCGGGCGGAGAGGGGGAGATCCGGTGAGATCTGGACGTCCTTGGATTGAACGCCGGTGGTGGGGTCGAGGGAGGGGGGGACGGCGGCGGCGCCCATGAGGCGTTCGATTCGGCCGTCTTTGTAGTGGCGGAGAATGGGCGTGAAATCGTGGAGGATGTCGCCGGAAGTTGCAGAGGACGACATTGTTGGATTGGGGGAAAGAGATAAGAGAGTAATGTGAATGGCATAGTTAAGGCTGAGATGGATTATACCAAATTCTTCGGTAGGTTTTTTTTTTTTTTTTTTACTTTTAATAATGTGGAACACGTGACCACTATTTTTTTGAGTTCTTTTCGATTAAATCTAATAATTTATAAACTAGATCAACAAAATAAGTTACACTACACTAGGTGAATTGACAGAAAAAATTTGGAAGCATAGATTTGAACTATGACATCACTGTCATAACTCTATCATCACACCACCACCAAGCCATCTCGGGATCTGTTCAAATATATTTTTTAATTTTATTTCGAACAATTTATAAACTCCTCTGTTCCAAAACTGTTAAGCATTTGGATAGTGATATTGTATTTAAGATAATACTCATTCCATTCCAGTTTTTTTTTTTTGTCAATGTTAATATGCAAGAGAATTTAAGTAAAATATAATTAGTAAATTATTAAGAAATTAATTAGTAAAAATAATTATTGTATAATAAATTTAATTATAAATTAAAATTAAAATAATTAAATAATTTAATTAATAAATTATAAAAAAAATTATTGATATGTGCTGTATATATATGATAATATTTTGCTATATTTTGGACAAATTTTTGATGCGGAATTTTGTATATATACTCTTTATGGTGTGTTATTGATTGTGTAATAGCTTTCATGGAGTTGAAAAGTTTTAAGGTGTATTTGGAAAAAAATGAGCATAACGCATAAAAGTCGTAGGCGTGATTACGCAAGTACAATATGAAAAATATGAAAATTTATAAAAAGACCTTCCGGGGTAAATTGAAAATATAAAGATTATGTGAGGATTTAAGTGCAAATGAGATCTAATTTAAATGGGATCATGGGATGGAGAATGAAGAGATACAATTTGCAATTGAAGAGGGGGAGATAAATAGACTACCACAACACTATATTTCTTGAAGGGGGGAAAAAGAGAGAAGAAAGAACATGGAAGATACGAGAACTTGGAGGAGGATTGCAGACGACTTTTTGGGGCGTTTTTATTCTATTTTCGTATTGTTTTTTTTGTCGATTTCAAAATTGAAGGCATGATAAACTTCTTTATTTGTTTTGTATTTTCAATTTCTATGAATTTTGAGTAATTTCATTTCTAGCGTAGGTGTGAATTGATGTTTGAGATTGAATTTGTGAGAATTGGTTTTGTTTAATTGGGTGTTCATCGATATTGAGTATTTCTAATTCTTCAAATTTATAAGTTTAGAAATCTCAAATTGATTATTACACACGAATTGATTTGAGATTTCGTAGCTAAATTGGAGATTGACACCCGTAATTGTGTAATTTTCCAATTGGTGTAGCAACCTAGAAGAATACTCTAGGGAAGAATTAGAATCAGTTTTAAGGAATTGCCCTATTGAGTAATTTCCAGCGGCCCGGGTATCCTTTTCCCAGTGGAGCAGGAGTTTCGGGGAACACTTGAGAGAGGAAGCAGGATCATCCACATCCTGCTCAGAAAGCTAAAAGGAGCCGGGGTCTACTAACTGAACACAGGCAAATTAAATCAGCATAGGAATTTTGTTAAATTGAATTGTACCTTTCTAGTACTTAAAGCTGTCGAGTCAGTAAAACTACGATCGTACCTAGGATTTTCACTCGATTAGGGAAATGGCTAACGGTCGTACCTTAGCTATCGAAAAAGTCAGGAAATGTTGGTTGTGACGCGTGTAGATCAACTATAACCAATTAATCAAACTAGTCAATGAACTTGATTTTTAGTTGATGAACAAAATTTATATCACAAACAGAAAATTCATGCCTATACTAGAGAATAATCATCTTTGGTAATCCGTCTTGCATTTTATTTTATTTTATATAGTTGAGCGAATTTATTTTCTCCTTATTTAGTGTGATAATCAAAACCCCCCATTATATATATATATTAGTATAATTATATTCAACCGAGTTTTCAAATCATTTTTGTTCCCTGCGGAGACGACTCTACTTACCGGACTACTGCATTTTGCAATTTTTTTGTGACGTAGGAACTGATACATTATTTTTCAGTTGTGCGACACACATGCAATTTTGGCGCCGTTGCCGGGAAATAGTATAATGATTTTTTTATATTTGGTTTATTTTTTATTTAGCTATATTTTTTCTCGCTTAATGGTTTATGCCTCGAATTGTTCATACAGGTGAATTAGTGTTTGATTCAAAAATCGAAAGGACTGCACAACGTTTGAGGAAAGAAGCTAGAGAGCGAAAGATGGTTGAAAAAGAAATTGAGTTACCGGAACCTGACTTAGCTATCCAACTGGTTGAAAGTTCTAGTTCCAACGAGAGTGAAGAGGCCAAGGGAGTTGAAGAAGTTGTGATACATCCAATGGAACAACAGAGAACTCTTAGGGAGTTAGCTGCTTCCGATTTAATTCAACATCCTTTGTGTATTAATTTTCCTGCTATAGCCGATAATACGGCATTTGAGCTTAAATTTGGACTAATACATTTATAGCCGATAATACGGAATTTGAGCTTAAATTTGGACTAATACGGCAGGGGAGGAACCACACAAGCACTTGCAGGAGTTCGATGTGGTGTGTACGAGCATGAAACCACCGGGAATCACTGATGAGCAGATAAAACTCCGAGCTTTTCCATTCTCCTTGAAAGATGCAGCCAAGGATTGGTTGTTCAACTTGCCCGCCGGGAGTGTGACCACCTAGATGGATATGAAGCTCAAGTTACTTGAAAGGTTATTTCCCGCATCCCGGGCTGCTAATTTGCGAATAGAGATTTGTGACATCAAACAAGCATCATGAGAGTCTTTATATGAATATTGTGATAGATTTAAGTTAATTGCTAGATGTTCGCAACATCAGATTTCTGAGCAACTTATAATCCAATATTTCTATGAAGGACTAACTTCTATTGACAGGAGGATAATCGATGTTTCCAGTGGATGAGCTCTCATGAACAAGACTCCGAGAGAAGCTTGGGAATTTTTGAACGACATGGCTATGAACTCTCAACAATTTGAGCCAAGGGATGTCGTGGGAGTGAAAGAAGTTTCCGATGTAAGTTCTCCTATGCAACAACAATTAAATGAGTTAATTGCTTTTGTGAGAAAACTTTGTTGTAGGGAATGCTCAAGTGAAGCCATGTGGGATTTGTGTGAGTGTTGAACATCCTACGGATGCTTGTCCTACATTGACACAAGAGGTGGAAATGAATGCTGAAGGATTTGCACTAAGAAGAGCTTACGATCCTTATTCCAACACATACAATCCAGGATGGCGAGACCACCCCAATTTTCGATATGGGAATCATAATCAGCAATCCTTTGGACAACAGCAACAACTGGGATTCCAACCACCTGTGCAGCAGCAACAACAATGGACCATGACCCAAGCTCCTTGTCATGGTAACTCTTTGCATGATATAGTGAAATCAATTGCCTCTGATTTTTTGCAATTTCAGCAAGAGACAAGAACTAGTATAAAAAACTTGGAAGATCAGATGTCTCAAGTCGTGAAAGAGGTGCGTAAAATGAAAAAAAGAGAGAGAGGCAAGCTACCAGCTCAAACTCGCATGTACCCGAACAATGTTAGTTCAATGATCTTACGAAGTGGTAAGGAGCTAGAAGGTCCGAACGTTGTTGCACAAAAAGAGAAAGCCGGAGAGGAGATTGAGCAAGAAGCGAACAAGTCAACTGATCAGGTGAATTCTAAACCTCATATTCAATCCACTTCTAATATTGCTCAATTTCCTCACAGGTTAGCGAAACTGGCTAAAAGTGACAAGGAAAAGGAGATCATGAAGATGTTTAAGAAAGTGAAGCTAAACATTCCTTTGCTTGACACAATTAAACAAGTCCCCCGTTATGCGAAATTTCTAAAGGAGTTGTGTACCAAGAAGAAGTTGAGAGGGGACGAAAATGTGCTAGCTGGAAAGACTGTGTCCACTGTGCTGCAAAGAAAATTGCCACAAAAATGCGGAGATCCAAGTATGTTTGTAGTCCCGTGCAAGATAAGTAAGATGGAAATTAAAAGAGCTATGCTAGATTTAGGTGCAACCATAAATGTTATGCCTAAGTCTATTTTTAACTCTTTGAACATTGGGCCCTTGAAAGAAACAGGGATAGTAATTCAACTAGCTGATAAAACTTACGCTTACCCCGAACAGATAATTGAGGATGTTCTTGTGCAAGTGAATGAATTAATATTCCATGTTGATTTCTATGTTTTAGATATGCATGATGAAAATTCGCCTAATCCTTCACCTATTCTGCTTTGTCGCCTTTTATGTGTGTTGCACACACAAAAATTGATGTTAGAACAGGGACACTTACCATGGAATTCGAAGGTGTAAAAGTTCATATCAATATTTTTGATGACTCGAATGATCCGTGAAACCTTATGTTTTGTATTGTGTAGATGTCCTTGATCAAAATGTGAAGGAAGACTTTGAAGTTGAAGAAAGAAGGAAATTGCAATTGCAAGAGTTTGAGGAGATTCAGAACAAAGCTTTCGAGAATGCGAGGATTTATAAAGGAAATAGTAAGAAATTTCATGATCCAAATATTTTGAGAAAAGATTATAAGGTTGGTCAAAAGGTTTTTCTTCATCATTCTCATCTTAAGATTTTTTCGTGGGTTAAAATTCGTTATCGTTGGATAGGTCCATTTGTGGTAACTAATGTGTTTCCGTATGGTACAGTTGAGATTCAAAGTTTTAGCACGGATAAAAGGTTTGTTGTGAATAAACATCGTCTTAAGCCTTACTATGAAGGGTTTCAGAGCAAAGAAGTGAAGTGCGTAGCTCTTTTTTAGCAGTGTGATTAGCTTAAGAATCATTGTGTCGAGCCAACGACGATAAACAAAGGCGCTTCTTGGGAGGCAACCCAAGTGTTCTAATTTTATTTTGTATCCTTTGAGTTTTGGTTGTGTTTGTGAGTCAGTCTCATGCCTTCTTTTGGTGTTTTGATGCAGATATAATGTTCATGGTGGGATAAGCATAATGGACAAAGTTTTTAGACGTGGCCACACATCCAGTGTGTTGTGATTGATGAGAGGAAGAAATTTTTACAGAAATCAGAACATAAAACTTCTTTGGGCGTGATCACGCTTAATGAAGCTTTACATTATGAAAAATAGCACAAAAAGATGATTTATTTTAAAGAATTATTATTATTATTATTATATTTATTATTTATTATATTTATTATTATTATTATTAAGTTTTTAATATTACTATATTTATTATTATTTTTATAATAATAATTATTATTATAGCTATTAATTTTTTTTATTTTATATATATTTTGTTTCTATATTTATTATTATTATAGTTACTATATTTATTCTTATTATTGTTATATTTATTATCACGTCTATAATTATTATTATTATGATATTTATTACTATAATTATTAAATTTATTATTACTATATTTATTATTATTTCTATAATTATAATTATTATTATAGTCATTAAATTCTATTTTTTTTATTTTTATAATTATTATTATATCCATAATAATAATAATTATTATTATTATTATTATTATTATCCTTACTGACTCGCAATCAGCCGTCTCATCTCTTTCTTTCTCTTCCGCCGGTTCAACTCGCGATTGCTGAAGCCGCCAAGCCATCATCAGCCCGGTTCTAACCGCCGCGTCCTCCGCCGCGCGCTGCTCCTGATCCCCAACCGCCTGCCTGCGTCCTCCACCGCTATTTTGCGCTGCAGCCAGGATCATTCCTGACTTTCGAAGGCCCGGGGCGAAATAAAAATCAGGGGCCTTAAATATAAATATATATATTAAATATATTTTACCTATATTAAAATATAAATAAAAAACAAAATATTTTTTCTAGCATAAATTTTTCATATACTTTAAAAATTGCATAACACTACCTTATATTTTAACAAACGCTATATGAAATCTCGTCACGCAAAAAATATAAATGAAAAATCATCTTCTCGTCACCAACAAAATATAATAATGAGTTTCATGAAATATTTTTAAATATAAGGGGTTCATGATATTTTTAAAGTATATAGAGGATTTACATGAGTTTCAAAATCATCTCATTTATCGATAATTTTGCCTAATAATAATAATAATAATTTAGTCTAATATTTATTATCTTTTTAGTGCAAAAAAAAAAAGAATAATTACAACAAAAATAAAAGACTCTAAATATATATAAATGATGTACTTTGATTTTTTTTACCTATAATAGAATATAAATTATTGAATAAAATATTTTTTTTAGAATTTTTAGATAAAATATCAATAATAGTATTAATAGTAACCACCCAACCACGCTCTTGTCAACTGATTTGTATATATAAATAAATTATATATAAAATAAATAAATAATGAACTCTAATTTAGATTGGGCCCTGGGCGGGCGCCCCTTTCGCCCGGGCCCAGGAATGGCCCTGGCTGCCGTTGACCATTAGCCGCGAGTCGCCGGTGGAATTTTCAGGAAAGTCATTTGCTTTTCATCTCTATTGCATCTCTCATGTCAATTATTGCCTCGATAATTTCTAAGATTTGTTGACATTGCGCTAAATTGGATCATTATGGTAGAGTCTCTTAGAGAAATTGGGAAACTGATACATGGATGCATATGAATGATTGAGATTGATCTTGTGGCAGTGAAATTGTTGATTGCACATTGAATACTTGTTTTAAGATTGTTGGTTGATGTCAGAGCGTAATTGCTATGCGAATGCTCTTTGAAGTTCCTTGAGGAATTTTAATTTGATTGTTAAATCCACTTTTGTATAGGCATCATAGGCACAGTGCGGGCGTCAGATCCGGTCCCCTCCAAGATTCCTATTACTCTTTAAGATTCCTATCGAGAAATTACTGAGCATGTGCCAGTCGCCACCACCTATTTCAGGGAAGTTTCATTTCTCCGTCTCTTTTATTTCATTTTTGTTCTTACAATAGGGACATTGCATCAATTAGGTGTGGGGGGAGATTAGAACTTTTGATGCGATATAATGCTTTATTTTGACAACTTCCCTCCATGTCCTCGTATGTATTTTGAGCCAAGGTTGTTGTGCTTACTTAGTTTATTAGGATCTTGCCGTGTTTGTTGATGAAGTTAGATGATAAGTGTGTTTACCCCTCTGACAAAGAACCTTTAAGTGAGTTGTTTTGAGCCTTATTTGAGCAAATTCACTCATATTTATCATATATGCTCAATTTTTCTTAGATTGTGTGAACATATGTTGTATTTGACTACCTAGAACTTGCTTGCTTATGCTTATTGACTCCGCGTTTATTTAGAATTGATGGGATTAAAATGATAAGGCACTAGGATTACCCGTGTTGGCCTTAATTATATATTCACCTATATTATCCCCTAGTGAACCAAGTTTGAGCTAATGTTATTATCTTATTTTTCTTGGTTTATATTTAACCCAAACCGATAAGCCCTATTATTGGATTAAGCCAAACGGTTACTTGAACCCATGAGAACTTGAGGGATTGTTCTTTGATTCATTACATTAGATTATTTAGAGTTGCGTTCATTATACGATATTATTCCGAAGTTGTACTTGAAAGGATTACCCGTGTTGGCCTTAATTTCATATCTTCACTTATATTATCCCCTCGTAAACCAAGTTTGAGCTTAATATTATTATCTTATTTTTCTTGGTTTATCCTAGCCGCTAAGCTCTTTTATTGAATTAAGCCAAACGCTTACTTGAACTCATGGGAACTAGAGGAATTGTTCTTTGATTCATTACATTAGATTATTTAGAGTTGCATTCATTATATGATATTATTCCAAAGTTGTATTTGAGAGTATTCATATTGTGGCACGGTTATAAATTAATACATATTTTTTTCCAAAAGTATCTCATTATCTAGCCTCTTTAAAATAATAAAAGAAAATTTAAAGGGGCTGAAAAAAAAAAAAAGAAAGTATGTTCCTGTCTTGAATTGGTCATCGTTGGTGCAGTATTGTTTGATTTTTGTTCATTCATGGATGCAACTTGCGCTCATTATGATGTGATGAATTGATATATTAATTCCTCGGTCCCATTAGCCGTAGATATCTTTTTTCCTACCCCAACCATGGTCCCATTACAACATTTAATTAAGACCTTTGATTATGAACGTTAATTTCTTGATGAATTGTGGAGTTGATTTGATTTGTTTGCAAGCCTATGAGATTCGTCGTTTACTTCATATGCATTGAGTGAATGTAGCCTAAACACTTGAGGGTGAGAGCTTTTACTTATATACATTCCTCATTTGGTGAGGTTAGTTGGTTCATGCATGCTTTAAATCTGACGTAGTTGATGACACGGCTAAGTGACTTTTGCGCTAATGAGTATCTCAATTCTTGGTTTGGACATATGCTTGAGGACAAGCATGGATTAGGTGTGGGATAATTGATATGTGTTATATATGATAATATTTTGCTATATTTTGGGCAATTTTTTTATGCACAATTTTGTATATATGCTCCTTATGGTGTGTTATTGATTGTGTAATAGGTTTCATAGAGTTTGCAAGTTTTGGGGCTTATTTGGAAGAAAAAGAGCAGAACGCATAAAAGTCTTAGGCGTGATCACGCAAGTACAATGTGGAAAATTTGAAAATTTACAAAAAGACCCTCCGGGGTAAATTAGAAATATAACGATTATGTGAGGATTTAAGTGCAAAAGAGATCTAATTTAAAGGGGATCATGTGATGGAGAATGAAGAGACACGATTTGCAAGTGAAGGGGAGGAGAGAAAGAGGCAACAACGTTCTACCACAACACCATATTTCTTGAAGGGGAGAAAATGAGAGAAGAAAGAACACGGAAGAGAAGAGAGCTTGGAGGAGGATTGCAGACGACTTTTCGGGGCATTCTTCTTCTATTTTCATATTTTTCTTCTTTTTCGATATCAAAATTGAAGGCATGTTGAACTTCTTTATTTTTTTATGTTTTCAATTTCTATGAATTCCGAGTAATTTCATTTCTAGCGTAAGTGTGAATTGATGTTTGAGATTGAATTTGTGAGACTTGCTTTTCTTTAATTGGGTGTTCATCGATATTGAGTATTTCTAATTCTTCTAATTTATAAGTTTAGAAATCTTAAATTGATTATTGCGCACGTATTGATTTGAGATTTCGTAGCTAAATTGGAGATTGACACCCGTAATTGTGTAATCTTTCAATTGGTGTAGCATCCTAGAGGAATACTATAGGGAAGAATTAGAATCAATTTTTAAACAAATCCACGTATGAATTTTATTAAATTAAATTGGGTCTTTCTAGTACTTAAAGTTGTCGAGTCAGTAAAATTACGGTCGTATCTAGGATTCTCACTCGATTAGGGAAATAGCTAATGGTCGTACCTTAGCTATCGACAAAGTTAGGAAAGGTTGGTTGTGAACGCGTGTAGAACAACTATAACCAATTTATCCAACTAGTCAATGAACTTGATTTTTAGTCGATGAACAAAATTTATATCCCAAACAGAAAATTCATGCCTATGCTAGAGTATAATCATCATTGGTAATCTGCCTTGCATTTTATTTTATTTTATTTAGTTGAGCGAATTTATTTTCTCCTTATTTAGTGCGATAATCAAAATTCCCCCCGTTATATATATATTAGTATAATTATATTCAACCAGTGTTCAAATCATTTATGTTCCCTGCGGAGACGACTCTACTCACCGAACTACTGCATTTTGTAAATTTTTGTGGCGTAGGAACTGATATTTATTTTGTAGTTGTGCGACACGCGTGCAATTATGAAATTTAAAAAATAATTAAATACATAATTATATTTTTTTAAAAAAAATGATAATTACGTAGAGGGACCGAAAAAATACGGACATTTTATGCAAAAGAGAGTAGAATTTAGTAATTTAACGATGGTAAGTTGTTATATTATTTTATTATTGTACATGAGTAATAATGTTGTTAATATTATTAAAATAAGAATAAATATATATGGTTAAAATAAATTTAAAATATTTATTTGTATAAAATATATAGATATCGAGTTTGTTTATCCAAAAGTTTTGATTTGGAGATTTTTTTTATATGAAATATAAAAAATTATATGGATAATATATAAAAAAAAAAAAATTATATTGAAAGAAAACTTTTGTGAAAAATGAAAAATATATATGGGGAATCTTGTCGAAAAAATTTCTTACACAAACAAGTTCCTCATTTCATAAAAATAAAATTTT